TGGAGACATTCTGGTAATGACATAAGATAAACAGATACAGCAACAAACAACACAGTCCAGAAATAGACAGAAAAAATTTGATACGGAATAGAAATGATATTTCAAAATGGTAAAAAGATGAACTAGAAAGCTGAGTTGATTTTCATACATAGAATTAGATTGCTACTTTATGCTTTACACAGAATTTAATTTCAAATGGATTAAGATCTATGTATACGTAAAGCAAAATTGAAAACTTTTGGAAAACAATAAAAAAAGACTTTTAAAATGATGTCATGGTGGGTGAGGATTTCATAAACAAGATGTAGAAAAGCACAAGAACTAAAGACTGATAAACCTGACCACATTAAAATAAAAAGTTTTTATACATTTTTACATTGCGACAAAGTATTTGGAACGTATATAATTGACAACAGCTAACAAACAAACTCTTACAAATCATTAAGACCAACAACCCAACAGTAACATTGGCAATGACAGGGGAAGCAGTACACAGGCTAATGGTCACAGATATGGCCAAAGTTTAATAAACATGCAAACAGACACAGGAAAAGCTGCCCATACGTATTAATCGGGATAGATTACCTTATAGTGAAGGTACAAATTAACCCAGAAATCTCAGTAGCTTAAACAAATCTGAGATTTATTTCTCAGTCATGACATAGATCTGATGCAAGTTGGCAGGGGGCTCTGCTCCAGAAAACTCACTAAAGGACCATGCTCCACTGTCCAGCTGCCGTGCTGTAAGAAAGGGCTGAAGAGTCATGCACCAATGTTTGAATTCTCTGCCCTTGAAGTGACACTTGTCACTTCTGCTCACAGCCTATGGGCCAGAAGTAGTTGACTGGCCCCATGTAACTGCAATCGGGCTGGGAAACAGAGGGGAATACATGGATACTCAGTGAATAATAAATGTCTCTGTGACAACTAGAAATTAGAGAAATGCAAATTAAGGCAATAGCAAGAGGCATCTCACACTCATGTTGAGGGAAACAACAACAGCCAAAATTCTGATATTACCAAAGATTGGTTAGGATGTGAAAAATGGAAACAATCATACACAGCTGTTGAGGATGTAAATTGGCACAACATCCTAAGAGAGCATTTTTAATGCCGGGACAAAGATGTACCTACTCATAACTCTTCTTCCACAGGTGCATAAAAAGTGTCATGTGAAAATTCTTCATTTATAAATGGTTTGTAAAAGCAAAATATTGGAAATGATCTAAATATCAGAGACAATCTAAATGCTGGAAAAACCTAGAATAATGACTAAATAAACCGTGGTATATTCTTACTGAAAGCAAATATTGATAAAGCATATTAAAAGAAAAAAAGTTGCAGAAAGTAATGCACTGTATACTTTTTTATATAAAGTTTTAAAACCCACAAAGCTATAAACATTGTGTATCAATATATAGATATGTAGTTAGCCTATAATAACACTCATGGAAATGATAAATATTAATTCCAAAATAGTGTTATCTTGAAGGAGGAGAGATGGTATGTTAGAGTACATTAGCCGTAAAAGTATTCCTATCTGCTAATTCTCCTATAGGTAATAAAATCTAAGAAAATAATACTCTTCAACATTCAAAAGTTATTCTTTATTAACACTTACATAGTAGTCCTTTTTATATTAATGATAAATTAGAAACAGTCCCAAATGTTCAAACTGTCTAAATATATGACAACACATGAAATATGATCATTATTAGGTAGGATAATGTACATTAAGCAGTCAGTACAGTGTCTGGCACTTGATCGATGTTAGTTATCATCATCACTACTACTTCTACTACTACTACTATTACTTTTATTAAAAGCAAGCATGCAAACTAGGGGTTGATGCATGGAAACACATAGCGGAAATAATGTTAATTGGAAGAAGCAAAACACTAACTAGAATGTACCCTGTAATTAAAGCAACATAAAATAAATGCATGTCCTATTAACAATGATTTTAAAATAACTTGGGAACTTGGTAAAACAATGATTATTAAGTTACTCTATTAATTTATATTAAAATTAAATTATATTGCCATGAAATTTCCTCAAAACCCTACATTATTTTAAGTTTCTAGTTTACTTTGACAATACGCATAGGCATTTTGAAAAACATTTAAGAAAATACAACTGTGACAATTAATCTCATTATTTTATTGAAGAAAATCTCCCTCACAAATCATTCATGGTCCCTGAAACGATTAACCTTTGGAAAAAAAGAACAATTTAGGAGTTGCTTCTACTATATAGTTGTTTACTTGATAACTGCATTCTTTATCACACATTTTATAGTTAATACGACTGTTTACTAAAGGAAACTACAAAAGCATAAGGAGAATCCAATGACTAACCAAAACTATTATGTGTTTGTAACTTTAATTTTTTCAGTATATTTTTACCCACTGATAAAAGTCAGAAAGAAAATAATCATTGATTTTATATTCATCCCAGCACTGAATGAATTTGATATTCATCCTCGTATAATGACCTGACCTTGAATTTTTTGCTGAGGTCAAGAACACAGCAACTGCAGTGGGAAGTCTAGAGCATACCTCAAAGGAAGACAGAAGAAAGATAGTTTTCTTCCCTCAGTTCACTGGATCCTCTTCAGAGTTTACACTGTGACCAATGAATATAGGTTGTAAAGCTGAATCAGAGTCATGGCACCTGCGTTTGGCAGAAAACGACTGTCTCCTCTCCTCCAGCCATGACTGTAGTAGGTTACCACGAGCTGTGTCTTTCAATGTTCTACACCTCTATAAAAATCTATTTAATGCTCTCTTATCATCCATTCTAATTATTTGTTTGCATATGTAGTCTACACAGTATTGGGCATAAAATGGTCATATGACTATGTCCTTGAGCTAGCAGGGCTGATGACCATTGCTCATCCAGGAAGTGTCATGGCACTGTGTAATAGAGGTATCATTTCTTTTCAGCTTGGACTCAGATCAAGAACTGCTTTCCCACCTAAGGAAGAGAAATATAATCCTTCCCATTGCCTAAGAGCAGAGACAACAGCTGGCAGAGGGAACACAGATGGGGACAGATGGCTTAGACTAGAGAGACAGCTCCAGAGCCAATGGACATACGCCATCTCTGGATTACATCTCTAGCCATATAGAGGTCAGAAATACTTAGCTGTCCAAAGCAAATACAGCTGTAATTAGAGATGTCTGAGAAAGACAGCTATGGAGGCCAAATGGAGTAACGTTAATATCAAGGAGACACATCATTCTCATAACTCACTTATTCACTCTAGAAAGGACACACTAACCATATTTTGAAGATGTTCTCAGCTTTAGCTTTCAAAGATCAACTGGAAGAATAAAGATCTTAAGAGAAAATCTTGGTAAAAGAGTGCCTTATAATCTCTTGTAGCTCAGCCCTGTCTCATTTCTGGGGTTTGAAATTACAAATATTTTAATCACCCCTAAACTAAGCAGAGCCTAGTTTGCTCATATAAACTTAAAGTTGCTCACGTAAGGCCACAAAGAAGCTAACGTTACAAACCAAGGCTTAACCAATGAAGTGATTTCTCTACTGAATTAGTTTGGTCACGAACCATACAGCAAGACTTACAGAGGATGATAAGTGCACATTAATTATTAATTCTGCAATGGCCTGAAATAGTCCAAATGGGATTAATTTAATAAGAGTAATAGAATTCCTTCAAACAATTTTTAGGAGAGGTTTCAAGATTATCTTTTATTTAGGAAGTGATTCTTTCAGGGTCTCTTCACCTAAAAGCAGTTACACCAACATAAATGAAGCTAATAAGTAAATGTTACCTAAAAATTTTCCTCAAATTCTACATTTTTCAATGCATTTACTTGATAAATATATTTTTGACACTGAATATATAACTGCACAGTAAACAGAATTTCTTCTCTACATTTGAAATTACATAATTATATGTAAGTTTGCACACACAAATATTTCATTGAAGAAGATACAAAGCAGTTTGAATCTGGAGAAGAAAGCATGATAGATAATTAAAATAATTTTCCAAAAAAAAAATCAAGGTGGAATAAGTTTTATAAAGAAAGATGTTTTTATTTCTTTTTAAAATAAACTGTAGACTCTAACCACAAATAAGACACTAAGTAATGACTTAATATTTCACTTGATTTGCCTTTAAAAATAAAGCCACAATTATTTTTATAATAACTTGCAATTAAAATCAGACACTAGAATTCTTTTAAATTTTGCCTACAGTGGACTCAAAGTTTGGAGAACATTTTGTCTTAGAACTAGAAAAAAAAGTAGCTCTATAAATGTCATAGTGGCCAGTGAGGAATACTATACATTCCTAGTAAAAAGGAGAAGTTCTACTCAAAAGAGATTAAAGATCAGAAAGGGGTCCTAAAATTGATGCAACCACTTTTCTGGTTGGACAAACAAATGATCAAATTCTCATGACATATTTTGGCTTAAAGGACTTTTTCTTTGCACTGACCAGAACAATTATGCGCATTTTGGATTTTTCTTAATAAGGAAAACAAAATTTTACACATTCAACCCTTTATTCTGCCACACGTATGACAGTTATTTTTTCTTATCAAAATTTACTTAAATACTTTCCACAGATCATGTGTTACTTCTATAATTATTAAAATCAATAAAGTGATTTCTATTTTGAAAAAGAAAAATGATAGTTGGACATTTTATTTTACCCCTTGAAGTAACCTAGGAAATGTTTATGACACTTGGCTATTTCCCATGTTGTAGGCTGGAAACAATTCTGATTGAGCAGAAGTAAAATCGCTACTAAAAATATCACTGTCTGTTAAATAACAGGAGTAAACTGAGAATTTTTGGATGAACATAACCTTGGATTAAATGTACTAAATAATAAGTGCTTTTTATACCCCCAAGTCCGAAAAAGAAAAAAAAGGCTGAGAGAAATGCAAGCAACAGAGCACAGAAACACGACAACATAAAGAGTCTTGCTAATGTTTCACATGGTAGCCTAGAGAGCAAACATCACTTACCCTGGTTTTTGGACATGGTTTCTGCATCTCTCTTTCTAAGTCTTTTGTTAGAAGCATGGGCAAGGAGTTCTGACAACTGGCCTCCTATAAAAGAAGTTAAAAGAAACATTAGAGACTAAAGAGCATTACCCTAGCCAGAAATTACAATGTAGTGAAAAGCAATTTTTCAGAGCGACAAGGCATTTCTGGATTGACTTGCTCACAGCAGAAGCTAGTGAGATTGCAGCGAGGAGTCATAAACGTTTTTTCTTATTTGTCACATACAGCAGTGAAGTGATCCATAAGATGGTGCTGGAGTAGGTGTGGGACACACAGGACATATATATTCAAAGGTGACCATTAAAATTCTCATCGCCACTATCACGTTCCTTACACATCAGCAGACAGCTCACCTCTTCTCTGGAGAACTGAACAGTTAATTCTCCAAGATATCAACCACCAAACTTAGAGTTGCCAACTTTCCCCACAGTATTTGCCAAATGAGTTCTGATCCTGTAAATATTTTATCTTAAATTCCTTCAGGTAGTTCAGCAAACTACTATTGAATAGTGATAGTTTCATACCAATATCCTAAGTGAGGAAAAACATCTGAGTTTCGTTTCCAAAATTATCAAGCTTCTAAGTCCTTGGTTCACACCAAAATAGTACATGCAAAAGTAATAGCAGAAATGACAAGGAGGCAGCTTATGTGGAGTTTGGATACATTTACTATTTACCTCTACATGATCAACAAAATCAATAACGTTATTTTTGAAAAAATAATGTAGGGTCTCACTTCTGAATAGCCATTAACTTGGATAAACTTTCCATGGATGATTCTACCTCTAAATTAAGATAGAACAAAAATACCTAAGAGGAAAATTACAGACAACAATAAAGCTAAGGAGAAAGTAAGTCAGGTTTATTTCATTTGCTCCATAACCTTCTCTTCTGCATTCTGTTTCATCCCCAGTGATGCCTACCATTCAGTCATCTAAGTCATGGCGGTTTTTTCCTGTTTACTTCAGGGTTAATTATAACGTTTTAAACAAAACCGCAGTCTACATTCTTTATAATATTACTAAAATTTGCTTCAATTCTATTCATTTATTTCTAAAAGGAACAGTATATTACCAGGATAAAATGTCACTAAAGAAAACAATACTACTTACTGCTAATAAATATTTACTGAATCTTAGGATGTATCAGGCACTGTGCTAAACACTTTGCATTCATAATGCCATTTTGCCCCCAACAGTCCTACGAGTTAGGTACTATTATCATGATTCTCCCTTTAAGGATAACAGTGAAAGCTTACAAAAGTTAAGTAACTTGCTCAATGTCACAGAGGACTCAAACAAACATGGTTCTGTATAACTTTAAAGTCTGAGCTCTTATCACCTTTATATACTACTACTCATTCAATATACTTGACATCTGAAACCACTAGGTTCTAGAGCTGTAGCATTTGAAAGCCAAAAGAGTTTTTTAAAGATCAACTGGCCTACGCGCCTTCTCCCCCCAATTTTACAGATGAGAGACTCGGATCCTGAGGTGATGTGCCCAAGATCATACAGCGAGTGGCAGAGCTGAGACCTATGCCTGGACCACAGGGCTGTCTGCGGCCCCTGTTCTCAGCCTTGTGCCAGGGAACAATACTGCCCGGCTCAGAGGGGATCCAGAGGCTCTTCCAAGCTGAGGCGTAGCTGCAGGGCTGCCAACACTCTCAGCTGACTGTGGCCTCATGTACGGCCCTAAGGAAGGACCCAAGGGGACATTTCTGAAACCCCAAATAAGTGTGCATTCCAGTCCTACCCTTTCCCACCAGTCACAACACCTGCTGCTGGTAAGCTGCTTACTGGAAATAACGAGTGAACCCATTCCTGCTTCTGACTCACTGTGAGAGGGATAAACTATATCCAGCATGACATTTAGACGATCCAGGTGATTAACTGCATAATCCATTGCACAATTTAACTACACTTGGATAATATAATCATGCTTTATCCTTATACCCCATTTTTAAACTACTGGTATGTAAATGTTAGAAAGTGATGAGAAGAAAAAAGGCTGACCTTAAGGGAAGTTAACAGGAATAGCTGAACCTTTGTTTATAACTGTCTGTTTACAAATGCCTACAATTCCTTCTTCCTTATGCACAAACTCAGAGTGACAGAATTTCTTTATTACTCCTATTTTCTCTCCCTGTCCCTTTGAATTAATGACTATAAAGTGATAGCTTTTCCTTATAAGACTCTGAAAGAATTTCCTATAAACTTTTATCTGAAAATGCCACCTACATGAATTATGTTAATTTTTTATGACTTTAAATTCAAAGCACAGAGACAAAGTGAAGTTTAGTAGTCAGAGCACTGAACGAGGAGTCCAGAGATCTGGCTTCTCAGACTAGTTCTCTAACTAACCAGCTGTAGGAACTCGGGCAGGCATTTTGACCTCTTGGACCTCTCCCTCAGTTCAAAGATCTATAAAACCAAGGGACTGGATTAGATAAGCTCCAAGAATCTTGTCTAGTTCTTAAATTTCACGATTTTATGATTTTATGATTCTTCCAGGAAGAAGCCATATTTACTGACAAAAAGATAAGCCACCACCTGTTGAGAGTTGCATTCCCAACGCCCCAGCAGAATGCTGCTGAATTCTGGCATGTGCCCATGCAGTGAGACGTGAGCCAGGGGGCTCCAGAACCACACGACACAGGGAACATTTCCTGCAGGGCCAGCGTTACTCAGATTTCTGGAGAAAAATTAAGTAATTCAACTTGTACCTCAAATAAGTAACTGGTAATAACTTAATGTATTCTTTCAAAACATATCTTATGGGATTAAGTGAGAATCAATTGATGAATGAATAAATAAAGTATGGTATAGCCACACAATAGGACAATATACAGCTATAAAAAGGTATGAAGTCCTAATACCTGCTGAAAGCACAGATTAACCTTGAAAACACTATGCCAAGGAAAAGAAACCAAACACAAAAGGACACATGGTGTGTGATTCCAGTTACACAAAACGTCCAAAATAGGCAAATAGTCACAAGAAGTAGTTGAGTGGTTGACAGGGGCTGGGAGGAGTGGAGAATGGGGAGTGACTCCTAATGGCTCCAGTCTGTATGGGGTTTCTTTTTGGGGTGATAAAAATGCTCCGGAATTAGGTAATGGTAATAGTTGTACAACTTTGTAAATACACTAAAAACCAATAAATTGTATATCTAAACAAGTGAATTTTATGGTATGTACATTATCTCTAAATTTTTTAAAAAGCCATTTAAAGCAAGGCCCCACACTCTCAAGGCAAAGAGAAGAGACCTTTTGTGTTCGAACTCTTCCCTTAAAGGACTTCCTTGAAAAGGCTTGAAGGGGAATGTTTTGTGTTTAAAAGTATTAAACTTTACGTGGGTATAAGAATTCACTCAAATATTAACTGAACCCTATTACAGGTGGCATTCCAATGCTGGTCACTGGAGAATGAAATGCTAAACAAATTAGACAAGAATCTATTATATAGAGTATATTCATACTTATTTTAAACTTTTGGTCTAGTTAAATGAGACTTTTGACTGAACTGATTGCTCACTCTAATGACTTTTGTGCAACAACCAATTGCTTAAACCAGTTGTGTCACTTTGGTATGCATGAAAACACCATTTTAAAAATACAATAGGGAAGGAAAAATACCTTGCTTATTGTGACTTTGTTACCTTTACTATTCAGCTACTAATGACATTAAAAAATAGAAAAGCACTGGCTGTTCCCTCAGCCTAGCACACTCCTCCCACTGTCATTCACAGGTTTGTCCCCTCACTCCATCCGGTCATTGTTCAGTTTTACTAGAGAGCATTCCCTTCCTGGAACACCTTATCTCAATGGCCAATGCTCTCCCCTCCCACTTGACACTCCCTCTCGACCCTTTTTATATATTTCTTCATAGCCCTCAGCCAATATCTGACTTTAATATTTATTGGTTTGAATGCTTTATTGCCCATCTCACCCTACCCTGTAAGAGACTTGATCCGTCTTGCTCACAAACATAGCCAAAGGGCCTAGAACAGTATTTTGCACATAGTAGGAGCTCCACTGGTGTAGCGGATGAGCAAACCAATGAATGAGTAATATCCCTTTTCTAACCTTTCCCAAGCCTCTGTACATTCTTCCTGTTTTTAATTCCCTCCTTAATCAGCTTACAGTTCATGATCCTTCATTCTTTAGCTAAGACCCTTAATTTCCTTCCTCCAGTCTTCAATCACTGAATTCATCTCACAAAAGTACAACCTTGGATGAATTCAGCTATATACTTTCTCTGTGCTGGGAACAGAGCAACTGAAAGTGGCTGGAAAAATATTATACAATTGGTTGACTGTTTCATGTTAAATTTATTACCATAAATCTTGAATGAACTCCCTCTAATGCACAGCAATCCTGCTATATTTCTTTAGTAACTAGACTTTCCACTCTCCCAGATGATATTCCATGCCTTCTGTCTTCTCAAACCTCTTTCCTTCCATACTTGCTTTATACTTCATTGGAAAAACAGAAGCATCAGAACAGAAACTCCTCATTGTCTTACGATCAGATTTACAAACCTAGCTGCAACCATCCATCCTCTCTGCCTTTCCCCCAGTTAACAATAAAAGATAAGACCCTAATCCTATCAAACAGCCATTCCTTCCAAATGCACCCTGGATTTTATCTCCTCACACCTTCGGGAGGACTTCACTCCTTCAACTACCCCCTCTCACCCCCTTTCCATCAGATCATTCCCATCAATTGCAAGCATGCTCTGTAATTATGTCTTTTTTGTTTTTAAAACAACACTTCCTTAACCTTACTTTTCCCACTAGCTATGGTCCCACTTTTTTGCTTTCCTTTACAGCAAAACAACTGTCTTCACTCAATATTTCTACTACTTCATCTTCAATGCCCCCAAATCTGTTTTGTTGTCACTTCTCCACATAAAGTGCTGAAAACAGTCACAGCTTGGTCTCCATCTTACTCGAGTTCTTAGTAACATCTGACTCAGGTGACTCCTTGTTCCTGAACTACTCTATTAGCTGCTACAGCGTCACTGGTAGGGGAAAAACACTGC